AGGCTTTTTAAACTAATGAGATGTACCAAGGCCTTCAACTCTGGGAATATCAAATGCAGTGGGATTCAATTTCACTTGATTTTCATGTGGTTTTCCCTTTGTAATTAACACCAGACAATATGCAACTTCTCCTCATCCTACCACCAGATACAATCTCTGATCAAGACAAACATGTCAAGAAAGGTGATGCTTTTACCCTATACTGCCAAAGGCTTCTAACATTTTCTTTCTTTTTATCCCCTCCAGGAATATAATCCACATCCTCAAGGTTTTTCTTTCTTTTTTCCCTCCAGGAATATAATCCACATCCTCAAGGTGATTTCAGAACATCAGATCTCCAAGAGCAGTGGCACAGGCCCCTCCTGCTTCTTACTCACATGGGTTACACTCCAGAAACACTGGTGCATGGCCAACAGCTCAGAGAGGATTCCATAGGTCAGCCTTTCCTACCATCATTATGGGGCTACAGCTCCCCACTGTGTCTGAGCAAAGATGGGGAGGCACAAAACTATCCTGCACCCTTCACAAAGGCAGCCTGTTACGTCTTCCTGCCACAGCAAATGTCCCTTTTCTTCTTATTTCTGCCACAACCCTCCCAGACCGTGCTAACCAGGTGACAGAACTGATTGCCAGCTCCCCCAGCATCTAATGCTCCTGCACCAGCCAAGGTCTTCCATGAGTTTTTTTGGGAGCTGAAGGGAAGGATGAGCTTTCTGATCTCTTCACACCTTGCTTACTGTAAAAGGAAGCGGGTTTGACTGGCGTCGCTGGACACTGTGAAAACAATTAACACAGCCACCAAACCCCACCTTTGCATTTCATCCCCGGGTGTTAAACGAAGGAGGTGAGCAACTTCACAGAATGCAAAGCTGGGCCCTGAAGGCTTTCTCTGTTGCTAAGACATGACAGCCTGCAACAGCCATAGCTCAGAGACAACACAAGCAACAGCCATCATTTTTTTAAACCTGGATGAGCTCAGCCATGCCATACCTGGCAGGATCTGCAACCAGACAACCAGACACTGCCAAAATCCTAAGGCCCTGATCCACCAGAAATCCTTGCACAAGGGCCTCTGTGATCTCTGAGGCCATGTAACAGCTGAGGTTTGAGGGGAAGATAATGCTCTAAGCAAAAGCAGGGCAAGTCAGGTCTACTTCACTCCTGGAACAAAGCAGATTCTTCTCCACAGACCAGAAAATATGAGTCACCAACCATCTACCCCACACAGTTTGACCCTGGGCTCCCATTTCAGAAGGCACATCAGGGTTCAGAGCAAGATCTGGGGTTCTCTCTCCAAATTAACCTTCTGGGGAGCAGTTTTGCTGCCATTCAAGCACAGATATTAAATATACCCTGTTTAAAGACACAGTGCACTGTGCAATATATTCCAGATTAGTATGTAAAAAGCTTCCATTTTAAAAAGACAACTGGTTTTTCTACAAGATACCCTGACTTTTCTGTGCAAGGCAACAGAATCTGGAAGGGACTTAACCTGGATTAAACAGCAAAAGCCCCTTTTCCACAGGTTCAAAATTATCCTCTTAATTGTACATATACAATGGCCACCATCCCATTCCTTATGGTGATTCCCAGCTGGCACTACCAGCCCAAAAAGGCCACTTTAATAGATGCTGTGTTGCATCTGCCCTCACCCCGATCTCAGTCCAGAGCCTTGCAGAATGTTAGGCTCCATTAGCCAGACCATTTGCAACCAACAAACTCTCCTGGACCTGCAGTACCCAAAATGTCCCCGTGAGTCCCTCCCCTGCTAATGCCCGTGCTGCTGCGCAAGAGCCTGCTTTAGAAGACGCCACGGCAGTCTCACAGTGCTGTACCAGGAGCCTGCAAGTTCAAAGTCCTGAGCAGCACCTCGGAGCAGAGTTCACAAACACTTTATTATCACTCCATCATGGAGTTCCTCCGCGCTGCCCGGCAGCTCCAAATGAGCCCTCCACGGCTGTGACAGTCAGCGCCACAGGACCACTGAGGTTTCATTAATATTCATGTCCCATTGACACTCCAGCAAGCAATGAAAGCTTGCTTTCTGCAGCAGATCATTAAGTGAGGCGAAATGAGTGACCCCTTAAGACCAGCCGCGTCACAGATGTCACCAGGAGCTGAAGGGACAGAGACAGGGTCATCACCCAGCACTTCTTTTAATAAATAACAGTTCTAAATGAGCACGGCCTTGCCGTACCCAGCGGGACCCAGACGAGACTGAAAGCATCTGGGAAGCGATGCCAGAACTGAGAGCTGGGCAGGGCAGTGCCTCCTCTGAGGAACCCTGCCCCGGAGAGGCTGGGCAGAGGGATGCTGCTGTGCAGCGAGGAAGCAACATCCCACCACCAGATCACGTGTGTAATTTTGAAAGAAATCATGGTGTTTTGGGCACGGTTCAGTGGGAACACCCTCAGCCCGCGAAGCTCAGACACACTCACCTCCCTCTATAAGGCAGTCGTACATAGGAGCATCCCAGCACTTCCTCAAAGCATCCCAGCTCAGGGTATTTAGCAGAAAGCTTCCCGAGGCAGCAGTTACAACACTCCACATCGCAGAGACTGATCTCAGATTACAGACCCTAATTGCTGCTATCAGTCAGAGTAACAATTAGCATCAGGTTAATGCATTCCCACTGCTCTCAAGAGAGGACGGGGAAAGAAAAGGGAATTTTAGTCCCAGTTTACCTTGAGTTCACTGGGAGGCCACAAGAAAGCAACTCATGGGCAAAATTCCCAGGCACCCACTTTCCTCAGGAAATTCACCACCTCTGAAACACCCAAAGCAACACAGAAAAAATAAGCTCCTCCAGCCCTCCTAGTCCAAGGAGACAGCTGCCCTACCACTACATTTCCACAGAAAAAAAGCTAATGGAAGATCACATCTCACCCAGAAAGAGCCACCCTCCCTGCTTTGAGAAGCCAGCAACATCACCCACAGCCTCTCCCAGTTTTTAGCTCCTTCATTGAAGCCTGACACCCAGCTCACATCCATCAGGTGTGCAGCAGACAAGGCAGATTCAGCCTCTTAATTCCTTCATGACTCTCATCTCCATATCCCCACGGTACTGAGACTATAAAGAGTGCAGCAGACCACATGCAAGCAAGCAAACTCCTGTGCCCTTCCACACATGGCTGCGCACTGAGCTGCCTCTCCTGTGGGGCTTTGCAGCACGCTCTGCTTCAGAAAAATTTTGCTACCTGACTCCTTACAACCTCAGGGGGATCAAGAGAAATGTCAGAAACTAAAAGTCTGAAGAGTCATCCCAAACCTGCAAGATTTATTTCTAAAAGTATCTGCCAGACCTGCAAGCTTATACCAGTAAGAAGTCACCTGTGTTTCTCGTTTTCCTTCAACAAAAGAGATTGCCCAAGGACCAGGACAGACCACATTCAATCTCTAAAAAGCAGGATGTTTAAAACCCAAGGTGAGAGCTCTGCATACTGCTCAGCCCATTTAAACCAACTCAAACGAAAAGCAGGATGTTTAAAAACCCAAGGTGAGAGCTCTGTATACTGCTCAGCCCATTTAAACCAACTCAAAAGACTACAGAATGGCAAAAAAAAAGCCCTTACAAAGCCAGGGAAGCAACGTATTGACTCCCAGAAAGGGCTGCCCCATGAGCACTGCTGCCCAAAGCATCCTACAGCCGGGACTGAGGCACTGAGAAGTGAATGGGTGCAGGGCTACAGCACACAGAGCTGAGGAAACCCAGCAGGGCCACAGCCCCAGTGCACCCTGAGTGTCCCCCTCTCCACACCCAGAGAAATAGAAGCATCCCAGCACTAGGAGCTCCATCCCTAGGAAATCCCTTGGAATTGTGCGCTGCAACCAGCCAGACTCACCCCAGCCCAGCACCCCAGGCCTCAGCCCCTCAACTCCACCTGTGCAGCCCTGTGAGCCAAACCTGGAGACACCTGGCCCTAGAAAAAGGGAGAGCCTGGTCAGCAGCCTTCAGGGGGCTTGTCTGTCGTGTCTGCCCAGCCAGGCACCCTGAGTTTGCATCAGCCCTGAGAGAAAAGCAAACAGCTCCACCGCTAGAGGCTTGTGTTTCTGGAGGCGTTTCAAAGTAAGCCACCCGCATGCTGGCCCACTGCCCCCAGCCCTCACAGCACCTCCCTGGGCCTGCCAAAGGCCCACAGCCTGACCCAGACAGGCCTCGGCACCACAGCCCGCTGCCAACACGGCCTTGGCCTCCCAGCCTGGCGTGACGGGGCGCCAGCCCCACAGCCTGTGGCCAGGAGGCTCCAACCCCACAGCCTGGGGCCAGGAGGCACCAGCCCCACAGCCTGTCACAGGCAGGTCATGGCACCACAGCCTGTCACAACTGGGGCCTTAACCACACAGCCTGTCACGGGCAGTTCCAGGCCCCAGCCGTGTCCCAATCGGGGCTCCAGCCCCACAGCCTGTTACGAGTGGACCCTTGCCCTGCTCGCCCCATCCCACTGGCCGTCTGTGGGCAGGCACT